TATCTGGATCCCTTTCAGTCGGGATTCAGGCCTGGGTATGGGATGGAAACAGCATTGGTCGTGCTTTTGGATGATCTCTGGTGAGGGCGAGATGGGGGTTGTGCATCCATTCTTGCCCTACTTGACCTCTCAGCGGCTTTCAATACCATCGACCATGGTATCCTGGATCGGCTCAGAGGATTGGGGGTGGGCTGCACTGTGTTGTGTTGGTTCACCTCCTTCCTTCAGGGCCAATTCCAGTTAGTGGTGGTTGAGGAGGAGAGATCCTGCCCTTGGCCCGTTATGTGGGGTGCCACAGAGTTCGGTGCTCTCCCTCCTATTTAACATCTACATGAGGCTGCTGGGTGGGCTCATCCGTCGCCATGGGGGTGAGGTATCATCAGTGTGCTGATGATACCCAATTATGCATCTCTGCCCCTGGCGAATTAAGCAATACTGTGAATGTCTTACCCCAGTGCCTGGAGGCTGTGAGGATCTGGATGGGGAACAACAGGCTTCAACTGAATCCTGGCAAGACTGAGTGGCTGTGGGTTCTGGGGCCTTCTGGTGCTAGAGTTATGCCATCTTTGGTACAGAATGGGGTTGCCCTACCCCAGACAGACCCTGTGCACAATCTGGGGTTCCCCCTGGACTCACGACTCCTGCTCGAAGAGTAAGTGGCAGTCATGGCTAGGAGGGCCTTTACACAGCTTCGTGTTGTGCCCATTCCTAGATCAGAGGGACCTAATAACTGTCACTCATGCCCTGGTCACCTCCCATTTGGATTTCTGTAATGCACTCTACATGGGGCTTCCCTTGAAGAGTATCCAGAAGCTTCAACTGGTGTAAAATGCAGCGGCGCAGTTATGTGTGCCCCTAGGGTGGTACACGTTATACCTCTGCTTTGCAAGCTGCATGGTTGCCAGTTTGCTTTTGGGTCCAATTCAAGGTGGTTTTGACCTTTAAAGCCCTTCATGGCATGGGGCCAGGTTACCCAAGGGACCGCCTCTCCCTGATTACATCTGCCCACCCCATCAGATCTGGCAGAGAAGGCATGCTGTGGATCCCGTCTGCTAGAGAATTACATTTGGTGGGTCCCAGGAGGTGGGCCTTCTCTGCTGTGGTGCCTGCCTTGTAGAATCTTCTCACCCTGGAAGTGAGATTAGCTCCATCCTCAACATTCCGTAAGTCCCTCAAGACCTGGCTATGTGATCAGGCCTGGGGTTCCCAGGGGACTGGGGAGATTTTATGATGGCTCTCTTATTAATTTTATCCCCTCCTGTTTCGTGTGTTTTTACTTTTTTTTATATGTAGCAGTTTTTATGTATTTATTTTTCTAATTGTTGTATGCCGCCCAGAGTCACCTTGTGTGAGATGGGCTGCTATATAAATA